AATAATCAGTGCTTCTTTTTAGGTGTTTGTGTCCAAGAAAGCTGCCAAAGATGTTGCTAAAATTATTGAAGTGCTGGTGAATGATGTCGAATCCTACAAAAATACGAGAAAAAATTTTGAAATTGACTATCAACTGCTTAAGAAGGGTATTTTGAATGAGAGTAGATTTGTCTTGGGTAAAGTTATCTTGGAAACCCTGAAAGAGGCAATTGTGCAGGGAGATGGAATCATTCTTGACGTGAAACAAAATCTTTGTGTTGATGCAACTACTGAGGAAAATTATAGTTCACCCGTCTCTGATTCGGTGAAGGACCAATTGATGGTTAAAAGAAATAAGAAAGTTCGAAAACTGCTATCTAGTTCTGAAGTTAAGTGGGAAGGGAATAAGAAAAATAAGCTTGATGGGAAGGAGGGAAATATTTTTGACAGGGTAGTTGAGGATGGAAGGTGTGTTAACATTGCAGAACCCTACAAAAAGGGAGTAGAGGCATCTCAATTACCCCATGCTGGATTAAATTCGATGGAGCATTCATTGTTGGAGTCAAGCAAATGTCATCACTTTGAAGTGAGGGAGAGTGAGAACAGGCAAGAAAATCTTGAAACCATGGACAATCAGGTTAAGAAGATGACCCCGTCCCAGGAAACACGTGATAAGGTTACCAAGGAGCTACTTCATGCTGTAGAGGCCAACCCAAGGAAGATGGACAAAGTAAATGGGAAAGAAGGAAAGCCAGAGAAGAAAGAGCATGGTTTGCTGCCTCAGGGAAAGGAGAATATTGAAAAGAAACGTAGACATGTAACAGATATCGAGCAGCACAAACGTCCGTTGTCCAGCCTCTTTAAGTAAATTCCTGAAGGGTATGAATCAGAAGCTGTTCTTTGAATTGCTCAAAACCGGCGCACCATCGTGGAGGTGTATGATTCAAGTACCATACTGGTTTCTACCCAAGATTTGATCATTACAGTGCCATGCTTCAACACGGCCGCCCCCGTTCGTTTCTGTTCAATAGGAGAAGCAGTTCAGATTAGAACTCCCGGTGATCTAGAAATCCAACTGTTGGATTTCTTCCTCAACTAAATGCCGCGCATTCGTCACGGACCAGGAAAAAAGAGGTAATAGAATTAATCAAGATAGACATAAAATGGTATTTCTGATTCATTCCCTGTGTGTTTCTGTATCGTTTAAGAGTTTCAAATTAATTTTAGTAAAGAACATAGCTTCCCTGGTTCTCAAGACAAGTGGGTTAACAAATTCATGTAAAATACTCGATTGGTTTGAGTCAATTTTGGGTAGGTAGATCCGTAGAAAGATTCGGTCTAGTTGATACATGAAGATGAATAATTTTGATTTGTCTCGATTTACCCCTGCATTCTGTTTTATTATTATTATTCTTCTTCATTTACCACCAATTTTTCTTTATCATTATCTATGTTGGTTGGATATTAGGGTCGAAAGTTGTTCAAAATTGATACAAGTTGTTATTAGACGGAGATGAAATCTGCTGATTAGTTTGTTGATTCCAAGAGCCAGTGAACTTATTTCTCTCTTGCACCATTGGAGATAGACAGCCTATTATATATAAGTAACCTTAAACATTATATCTTTGAGTTCACGAATACTTGTGGAGAATTGAACCTTTGACATTTGATGTCTCAACTAAGTTGTCTTCAGGGTTGCCTCAAGACTTAATAGGAAGAGGTTAATGATCTTTTGATTAGTTGAGACGTTATACTTTAAGCCGTTTATGTAAGACAAGATTGTTAGATTCATTTATATTCATCTTATTTATTCTTATTGTGGACACCATTTTGATCGATGTAGATCAAACTTGTTAAAAAGTAGCATTTCATTGAAAAAGTGAAAATTTGACCTTATAACCTATAAAAGAGGTTAACGATACTTCTCATTCGAGTTCTCTGTAGAGTTTTTTTTACTCTGGCTACCATAAATTTAAATGAAAATTTTCATGGTGATAGAATTAGATGAGAGGTGGGATTTTCATCCTTGCCCACCTGAGCATCTTTATTATTAAACAAAGTTCGACTTTATTCTCAATAAAGAGATTAGATGTTCCAATTTTGTATTCCATATTTAAATAGGAAAATTATTTAAGAAAAGTATGGTATTAATTATAATAATAATAATAAAAAAAAAGGTGATATTTAATATAAAATATTAATAAGAAAAAGGACCCACAAAGCAAAATATTTTTTTACTAAGCTTTCTCTTGAAAGAAGAAAAAAACAAACAAACGAACATACAAACAGAGAGAGCGAAAAGCCCTCCCGTCCTCCTATAAAACCGCTTGTAAGAAGCCATTGTTGCGTCCACCAAACCCTTTCCTTCAAAAACCTGACTCAGTTCTTCATCTTCTTCAAATCTTTCTCCCTTTCTCTCAAAATCTCCACATCCATGGCGGCCACTACTTCCCCTACCTCCTTTCTTCTTCAGAATCCACATCGCCACCATGTCAAATCTTCCATTTCCACCTCTCACTTCAACACCCTTCCTCTCCCTTCTCCCTCTCCGAAGCGCATCTCAATCTCCTGTGTAGCGTCCACCGCCACCTCTGTCGGGATCCAAAATCCCTCTTCGTCGCAGAATCCTTCCCATGATCGGGTCTTCAACTTCGCCGCTGGCCCTGCCACCTTGCCGGAGACTGTCCTGAGAAAGGCTGAGTCCGAGCTCTTCAACTGGCGCGGATCTGGCATGAGCGTTATGGAAATGAGCCACAGAGGTAAAGATTTCACATCCATAATCCAGAAGGCCGAATCAGATCTCCGTAGCCTTCTGGATATTCCCTCCGATTACGCCGTTTTGTTCTTGCAGGGTGGCGCCACCACTCAATTCGCTGCGATCCCTTTGAATCTGTGCAAGCCCGACGACACCGTCGATTATGTCGTCACTGGTTCATGGAGCGACAAGGCCTTCAAAGAGGCTCAGAAATACTGTAAACCCAAGGTAATTTGGTCCGGCAAATCGGAAAAATACACCAAAATCCCTGCATTCGAGGGTCTGGAACAAAGCCCTAATGCCAAATATATGCATATTTGTGCAAACGAGACCATCCATGGAGTTGAATTCAAGAACTACCCTAATCCGAAGAGCCTCTTGGTGGCTGATATGTCCTCCAATTTCTGCTCGAAGCCTGTGGACGTATCCAAATTTGGGATAATTTATGCAGGAGCACAGAAGAATGTAGGGCCATCTGGGGTCACCATTGTAATCATCAGGAAGGATCTGATCGGTGGAGCACAAGAGATCACTCCAGTGATGTTGGACTACAAGATCCACCATGAAAACTCTTCGCTCTACAACACCCCACCTTGTTATGGCATCTACATGTGTGGATTGGTATTTGAAGATCTGCTGGCACAGGGGGGGCTAAAGGAGGTGGAGAAGAAGAACAAGAAGAAGGCCGAGATCCTTTACGAGGCAATCAACCAGAGCAACGGGTTCTACCGGTGCCCGGTCGAGCCATCGGTGAGGTCATTGATGAATGTACCATTTACTCTAGAGAAGGCAGAACTGGAAGGTGAGTTTGTGAAGGAAGCAGCAAAGGAGAAGATGGTTCAGCTGAAGGGACATAGATCAGTGGGAGGAATGAGAGCTTCAATATACAACGCAATGCCATTGGCTGGAGTGGAGAAATTGGTTGCTTTCATGAAGGAATTCCAGGGAAGGCATGCTTGATAATATCATCATACAATGTGAGATGTAATTTGCAGGTCTGAAGTGAAATGCTGGGTCTTTGTTTTGTTTTGGGTTTTTTTTTTTTTTTTTTTTTTTTTTTTTGTTGGTGATCTTGCTGGATCTTTGTTTGTCCAATGTGGGGGTGGGGAGTTGTGTTTTTGAGATAAATTTTCACATGAGGATTTTTGATCTTCTGCAGAAAAAAGATGAGTAGTAGTAGTAGTTTAGGCTGATGATTATATAATAATCGAAGCTTTTGAGTCAAAAATTTCTAAAGGCTGCCATATCAATCAAGGATTTGACTCTATAATAATAAGCTCACACTTTTTTCCTTTTTTTAACCAATTCTAAAATTCTTAATTCTTTTGAAATGTATTGTAATTTTTATGTGTTTAATGAATTATAAAGCATCAAGCATATGTATGAAAAATAATTCTAGAGTTTTTTTTTTTTTTTTTTTTTTTTTTTTAAATAAAAAAATATTGTGGATCAGCTGAAGTTTTGTGAATTTTTTTTATTTATTAAAATTTATGAATTTAGAGTCAAGATATTAAAAAAAAAGACTTGGATGGAAAATTAAAAACAAAACCCTACATTCAAATCACCTTGAGGACAATATAAAGTACACATAATAGAAGGATCCAAGGAACCAAGGCTTTATTACTCACTGTTGTATGAAAAGGCCAAATTCTATTCTAATTCAATGTCACAAATGTAGTACAAAAAATTCACAACTGAACTTAGGTAGCACGTCAAGTTTAAAATAACGAGTCTTGTGAAACTTACTGTTATTTCCTTCAAACAACGGTGACCAGCGACTTGGGCAATGGCGTCGACGTAGATGAGTGAGTGGTGTGCAAAGAGGCATGACAATCTTCCTTGTCTCGGGATCGGCCAGTGCCTGGAGCAGGCAGTCAATGAAGGCAAGAGACAGTGACAATGGCGCTGGTGCAGGACGGGCAGCAGTGCCGTGGCTGCAGTGGTGGTCGCACAACATGCGGGAAGGAGAAGGAGAAAGTAGAAGAAGCGGTGACGCTGCTAGGCATGAGAGGAGGAAGGGTTGGACAGCCGAGCTGGCTGCTAGCGTTTTTAGAATTTTTGGCATGACAACAATTTTCAAAAACACAAAATAAAATAGCTATCCAGATCTCTAAATAAATATCCCAATCAGATTGCACCACCAACCCAACTTCAAAACAATGGCCTACTAAATTCAATTCATTTACCTGTAAGTGATCAATTTCGTTCACTTCCAAACACAAGGAGAAAAGAATCCATCAAGAGGTTCAAATGTAGCAGCAAACTATGAACAAAAAAATCACTGCATGCATATATTAGAAAACATTTTCATGAAATTACAGCACTCCTGCCTCCTCCTCTCAAAAGATAAATATAAATTTCTCTCCCTCTTCTTTCATGTTCCATGTAGATCTTATCTTAATGGTAACATTTCTCTGTAGATTCTCATTTTTGCATGAAAGAATGGTTTCTTACAAGAAGCAGTTCCGAATTCTTACAGTTACGGCAACTCTGCATGTCTGCCGGCAGTTGAAAACAACATTTGCTCAAGCCACAGTGGCAGAGGTTGAACCTGCAAAGTGCTGAGAAATTTTCAAGAGGCTCCCTCTCATCTGTCATGAAAATGCAAATCTTGAGAAGAGAGAGAGAGCAGATCCTGAAGAATCGGGGCTCGGAGGAACATCGGCCGAAGAAGATCGGTAGGCTTGTTGACATTTTTGTGTCTGTATAATAAGCACATCCACCAAAATTATTCACCATAGATGAGATGTGACTATTAAAAAAAAATGTGAGGCCAGGGTAAAATGTTTTTTTTTTTTTTGGTAGGGANGGGGGGGGGGGGGGGGGGGGGGGTGTTAAAGTTCATTACCATTTCCTTGTATACATTTTTCATGCCCATAATTGATTACAGATTTAGAACTATAGAGACTCATATAAACTATAGGAATGCAAGCCCACCAACCCAATTTTGAGAGCATGTCAATAATTCTGAAACATGATCATATTCCTATTATTTTAGGTGATCCTTTTAAGCCTTACAATGGTTTTCTACTTTCAGTTCCAGGTTCTTCTAACTGCTGTTGATAATTGGCCATATTTAAGAAAGTAAAACACAATATTTACTGATGATTCAGAGGATAGAGATATGATATAATAGAAAGCATATACAACCTCTTCTGGACTAAACTGGAGGAGCATGGCAACCACAGGCAGCAGAGCTTCTACTTCACCTAATAAAAAATAAAATTGAGGACGTGAAAAGGGTGTAAAATAAATAAAAGCCTAATATCAATCAATCTTTAAACCCATAAATTGGAACAAGGATAGTAATTGAAAAGGATTGGTTTTTTCAAAGCAGAAAAAAGTTATACCGTACCGGTTTCTAGGAGCTTCAAGATGACATTCTTCAGATATATCATGTCTACACCCTCCCTTCTCTGTGATCTTTCCATATCACGAAATTCAGCCTTTAACATTGCTTGCTACACCCATGAAATAATGTTTAAATTTCACACCAAAAATAATAGTAGTAGATCTACGATGACACGAACTATAAACATAATAAAAATTGGATCAATTTGGACTTAGTTTTACCTGCTGGCTATGCAGACGATTCTCCCGTTCCAGCTCCTCAATTTCTTCCTATAAATACAGAATTATTAGAATCATAATCTAGAAAATGAAATACAAATTATCTCAATCAGTGAATCAAATACTTGAAGAGCTAAGATATGCCGCTGTGATTGGGTCAGTTGTTCTTCCCTCTGAGCCTGCTGCCTTGCTAAAACCTGGTTAAGAGACGAAAATAGGAAACAATCATGAATAAGTTCACTATGTTTTAGATCCAGCTACTTCCACGTAAAATAATACATCAAAGAAGTATTACTATTATTTTTGTAAAAGGTGTGGATTATATGACTAAATCAGTCAAGTTATGCTAACATTGGCAAATCATGCAAACTAATTTTTAAAAATCATAAATTTTATGTAGCAATGGCAGTAAGCAACCATGGGGTCACATATACAAGTAAGAGAAAGAAAAGAAAATTTTCAAGTTAGATACCTTGATAGGAGAGAAATGGATAATGTAATTTAAACTTGACTATATATTTTAATTAATAAAACTTCTACTACAAAAATGATATTACAAACAAATATAAGTTACAACACATTTTTATGAGAGAACGTTGTACATACCAGAATCTGTTGTTCAGCAATGGAGGCGCTCAAATTTGATGAACCTTGCTGTTGAGTAGCTGATACCAGTTGAAGAAAAAGAACGTTAGGATTTCAATGGCCAGTTTTAGTCAATTGTCCAACTTCATTCGGTTATTACAGTATCAAATGAATAGGGACAAAAAAAAAATTCCTACCTGCAGTATTATCAATTTTATCTGCCTGAGATGATTATAGAAGACAAGGGTCAGTAATGAGTTTAGAAAGCACAATAAAAATTTTCAAAAAATTACAACCAAAAGGAGTAGAAATAAACATACGGGAGATTTTGATTCCAAAGATTGGCGAAGATTTTTATTATCATCTAAAAGCCTAGAAATTTCCGCATCCTTTTCCTCAATCATTCTATCGGCAAGATCACGGAATGAGTTATGCTCCTCCTATAGATTGCACAGCAAAGTAAGAACTTGAGGATAAAAGTATTTTAGCATAAGTCACAAGAAACAAAAAAACAAGAGAGAAGTATAATACTTGCCTTCAACTTTCTATACCCTTGTTTCAACTCTTCAAATTCCTTTTTGACATCTTGCTTAGAGGATTCTTCAAACTGAAATTTCAGAGCTTCACATCTGACTGCACATAAAATAATACGGTAAATAATCTTCTTTGCAACAACTAATGATACTAATCTATCACTCTGTAAAGGAAAACCAAGAAATACTATCATTCACACTGCAGATATTACTTCGCCATGATTCTTCCAAGTTCTGAAGGCTATGTTCCCAAGCTTCCTTTTCCAAATGAAGGTGCAAATCAGCAGATTCAAGCCTCTTTTCCAGGCTCTTAATATTTTCCGTAGCATCATTGAGGGCTGAATCTCTGTTACAAATGGAATTAAGAAGTTATCTTTTTTAAAAAAATGCTGTCAATTACTCAACTCATAAAACTTCGGCTAAACCTTATGGGGATAGATCAAAGTGAGTAAGTGACACATAAAACAAAATAGTCATTAGATGTAATGACAAAAATTGGCCATCATGAGACAATATTTTTGGGTGTCTAAGAAATCCTTCTTACCTAAAAATACAATGGGATATCCATGAGAAATATTAAATCACACTCGATGGCATTCATACATTTCATTTTACTAATGTATTATTCTAGTTTTTCTCAAACAAATAGAATCCGAAGAGAATTCCTCTCTCCGTCCAGGTTAGTGGGTTCTTCGTAAGCACAATGAAGAACGGCAATTCACATTTTTATCCATCGTCCAATCTCTCATCAGTATTGACAGGATGTCCAATACATCTTCTTTAAGTGCCATTCGTTACCCTTGTTTGTGTTAAGAATTTTGTTCATCAGGTGCTTGACAGACACCCAAAGCAAGGTTACAGTGCTTTCACTATGGCAATTAGGGCATCAATTTGGGAAATATGGCTGTAAAGAAATAGAGGATCTTCATCAGGGAGGACGCACTATGCCCCACCACCAGGTTATTTTTGTTTACTTTCTTAAATGTTCAAGATAAAAACAATCTATAACTACTTTCCCCTTTATAAATATCAATTGGAAAGATTTTTTGTAATTCCTTTCGATTAAGTTTGGTGGTTGTCTTATCTTCCCAGTTCCATGTACGTGAATACCTATGGTATATATTAATTTGTCCCACGATTGAGGCATGCAACTGACGTTAATCATTCATGGAACATCTTTATATGCACCCAACATTCAAATCAACCTCAGGTGGTATAACTGCTACGGAAGTTGCAATTTAAATTTGTAGCAACCGTCCTGGAGAAGATGAAAAATTAAAACAACGTATCTCAAGCATAAGACTACCTTTCTCGGAGATCTTTATCATTATTTTCCAAAGCATTTTGAAGATCTAGCTGAGCCTGATCCTTTTCAGCATATGCCAACGCTATTTCCTTTTCAGCCTCCTATAATGCAAAGTTTGATAATTGAAGAGAGCTCATAAATCAACATGGTTATTAACTTTACTTTTAGGTGTGTCCTCACCTTCAATGCTTCCTCAAGAGCTTTAATTTGGTCAGAGTCCACAGCAGCGGCTACCTCTGCTTCCTTCTTCTGAAGAAGTGCATGAGCACGAACCTTGTATGAAGAAAATTCATTTTCAAGGCGATTCCTCTGCAAGAATAAAGAAATTGCATCAAGCCAATTCTGATTTTATGTAGATGTTGAAGGGAAGAAATATCACTAAAAAAATCCATTTACGGGTAAAAAAATAGTAAATTTATTCCCATTACAGCATCAAAACTTCGGTAAAACAGGTTCTCGGTTTGTTAGGTAACTGAACAGTCACTGCTGATAGATTGATGGAATGTCTGATATCAGATGAATAAATAGAAAAAAAATGAAGCACTCGAAGACTATTTCATTAAATATTGGAGAACAAGAAATGCACAGTGAAATCTGAGCATGCAAAAGAGTGGAAGAAGTTATTCAACAAAATATTAGAGAACAAGCATACCTCTAGGACTATTCCTCTGAAAGATGCAATTATTTTATCTTTTCACATTTCTATTTGGGGTAGGAAACAAAAATTTCATTGAAGATATGAAATATTACATTTGTGGGAGTTCATCCCATAAACAGTACCTATCAAAAGGCATTAAAAAAATAACGAAAGTTTTTGGAACTTTAGCCTTCCAAATGTGCTCAAATGTAAGGGCGGGAGGAGCAACAAGTTGAAAATTCTTTCGTCAAGCGAGAGTTAATTAATTCAAGAAAGAGCCAAATTTCATCATAAAGGTAATGAAACCACCGATGAGAATTTTAAAACAAACCAATAGCAAAGAGATTCTAAATCATAATCTGAGGAACCTGGAAGCCTCCTTCTTGAGCAAGTCAAGCTCGAAGGCAGAATAGAAACAAAATTGCCTGCCTCACACCTGACTGGCCCTGTTCCATTATTTTTAGCCTCTGCCCATTAACAATTCCTGGTAATAGACTAACCCATTATCTTCTATGCCTATCCCTATACTCACCCGTTATCTCCTACTATCTGCTAAATCTTCCCTATACCAAAACAATTGCCAGCCTCATCATCCAGGCTCGTAAGACCTTCTTCAACAGCCCAATGAGTTACCAACAAGGAAAATAATAAATAGATAAGTAAATTGGAATGATTAAAATGATCGCAGATTCTAGTGGTTTATTATACCTCCTCTTTGATAGTCAGTAGTTCAGCATCTCTCGCACTCAACATCCGTGTTTTTGCAGAAACTTCCAGTTCCAGCTGACCTACCCAACAAACAAGAACGCAACATTTTGTCTGTTTCTTTTCAATATAAGAATCATCAACAAAAGTCAACAGGACTTCTTCTCATACTCCTCATTTTAGCAGCTTCAATTTCAGCACGAATGCAATTGCTCTCAGCAACCTCTAACTTCATTTTAAGTGCCTCTGAAGAAGCTTGCCACACCTCCTTTTCTTTCTCCTGTAGCATTATACAACTATCAATCTACGATTATAAAGCTGAAATTTGCATTCAAACTGAACCTGAATAAGGCCGTGACAACCATTGTGAAAAGAAATAAGCTAGAGATGAAAACGCAAGTCAGATCAACATGAATTCTCTAAAATAAACTAATATATCAGAAGAATGTCAACCTCGGCAATCTTATCCACAACATAAAATAAAGAGGTGAGTTACACCATCTGAATGTGCCTGTTCATGTTATAAGCAATCTTTTTCCTTTCTTTCATCCTCATGGATTCTCATGAACATCTTGCCCGTCAAGTCCTTAATATTGATAGAGAACATTTTAGGAGCTACAGAACTAAGTTTACCAAATAAAGTGTTTGCAAAAGAACGTAACTAAAGAGTCAAAATGGTAGTGGTACGGAATGTGTAAAAAAGTTCAATATATAACGTTCCTAATTCATTTGCAGAAGAGAGAGAATGATTTTGATAAATTTTCAAGAGTTCAAAGTTCAAAACAAAGAGCCTACATGTTCATTTCTCAGGTGAGCAAGCTCTCCTTTTACAGTTTCCGTAGCAGCTTTATGTCTAGCTGCCTCACCACTTGATGCTGCATCCATCTCTGCAATCTTTGATTCTTTCTCCGCAACTAATTCCTGGAAAATATATTCTTACAATCTTCACTAAAAGGAAAAAATAAAAATTTAGAACTATCACACAACGGTATAAAAAAAGGAGAATTATATTGCAACCAGAACTAACTCCCTTATACTTTCATCACAAGCCTTGTCTAGGTCCAATTAAGAAATTAACCCGCCCCTTTCTTCCTTCTCGAATCATCCACTACCTCTTAGCTATCAAAGACTATTGCCTTTTTATCATTTAATAACTGGGGTGTGTGCATCATAGATAAACTACAATTTGAATTAACTCTTACCTGTAGAGAAGAAATTGTTTCTGTAGCTTTATTTCTATCAGATAAAGCATCAGAAAGTTGCATTTGCAAGCTCTCCAAGCTCTGGATGAAAAAAAAAACACAGATGATAATTGGAAGATAATAGGGCGAATAGAAAGCATGAAATTCATTCAACATATATGCCTTGCCTTCTGATGTTTTGCAGAAAGGTCAGCTAGTGAAGCTTGCCTTTTCTCCTCAGCAGCTTGAAGCATTTTCTTCCCGTCTTCCAGCATCTGAAACACAGAGTTGAAACACATCGTTGTAGAATAAATATTTCAAAAGCCCTCCAGTAATTTCAAAGTAAAGGCATCAATGAAATTTTGGTATTTGATGAATTCATAAATCAGGAGAGTAAAATTATAATAAAGAAAAACATTAATTATGAATTTTTGATATAATATTTAGTTCTTCTTCTTGATACGATGGAGGAGTCATTTAATCACTTATTCATCTATTATGGTTTCATTTTACGGACTAAACTACTATTCAAACTCAACTTTTGTTATGACTTCAAAGGATGTGCATTTACTACTTCGTTGGGACAGTTTTGGTGGTCTTCCAAGCAATGGCTGCATAGGTATTGATAATGTGTCCTTTTTGCACTTTGTTGGGCCAAATACTTTAAGGATTACGTTTACTTACAGAAATTACTCTTTTTGAAAATTCTTAGTCTTCCCCTAATCCTAAATCCTAATTTTTACAGAAAGTTTTTTTTTTTTTTTCTAAATACTTAAGGATTACATTTACCCCTGTGCATAAAATTAGTAAACCATTGACCATCATCCAGTTCTTATCATGAGAAATTGGTAAAATACAATAATGATAAGGTCAATAATTAAAAAATGATTTAGCATTTTTTTTTTTTAACACAGTGAGAGTGATGTCAAAAAGCTTTCCGATACAAAGCATAATATAATACCTGGTCCTTCTCCGCAAGGGACTGCTGCAATGCCTCAATTGCACTTTCTTTAGGCTGCAATGAGTGTCGCAATTCTTCTATGTTATCTCGAAGCCTGTGCATTAGCGATGTCCATACATGGAAGAATTATAAAAACATAGTATAGTTGACCGTATAAAATTATTAAACTATTATAGTTGGTTCAACAGATAAAGTCAGTGGCATCTGGTTCTTATTAGAAAAAATGGTCTATTTTCTAGAAAAGTTCCAGGTTATCACCAATAATTGCTATACTAAATTTAGAAGTAAAATCTAATTTTTCTGCCAAAATGAATTTGAAGCATCTGAGGATATTTTCATAATTTAACTCCAAATAGATTATTCATATAGAGACAACAGTCAGGGTTCCTACTGCAAGATAGATTGAGAATTTGACAAAAACTGGAATAATTTTTAAAAAAATCATAAAGTGTCCCCTGAAAATGGAGTAGCTAGCAAAATACTTGGAATCAAAATCATAATTTCCTACCTTAATCCCCTTTGGCCAAAAGAAAATATTAATAATATAGGATTCATCATCCAAACAGACACTCAGCCATGAACAGAGAAAGACACTATTCAACATGGTAGTTTCTAAATTCAAACCATAAAGTTATAATAATAATAATAACAATAAATAAAAAGTCACAGAGATTTTACTTGTTGTTTGCACTTCTTAATTGTTGCCTCTCTGCATCTATTGCTTTCAATGCTTCATTAGCTTGTTGCCGAGTGCGTTCTAGTTCTTGTTGCAGTGCAGTCTGCTGGGACGTTGCGCGCTCTGCTCTTTCATTAACATCACGAAATCGAGCCTCAAGGTCATCTTTTTCCTGCAATGTTTAAGCATACCATCAAAACAAGCAAAGTGATTTCTCAAAGTTTATGTAGACGCCTGTATGTCTTACAAATACACGTTCCTTTCCCCTCCAACATAAAGAACAAGGAAGAAGACTGGATGCAACATTGCAAGAACACCTTCAAGTACCATTTCATTTACATTCAATGTTTTTGTATACTATTGACCCATAACAGCAACATGATTAAGTTACTCTTCAGTTTGGAAAAAAAAATGACATGAGACACATAAAATGATCTCTTAAGAAAAAGTTACAAGATAAATTTAAAATAATATACTTCAGCTTTGATACAACATTTTTAACAGATTATTTGGCCAAACATAAAGCATTTAATTTTTGCCAAAACACATGCATTATAGTGAATATAATTGACCGAATAAAACACAAAAAGATCAAGGTAATCCATACATCTAAGAAATTGCTCGGATATGCAAGAATAGTAACAGAAATATACAATCCTCTGTTAGAAGCTCCCACACACTTACTGACTTGGTAATCATAAAAATTTGATCTCAAAAACAGTGTAGATAGAATATGCAATAGGATACAGTTAAATAAGCACAAGGAACACAGCAAACACCTTCTGAACATCTTGAATACGCTGTTTTGCACGTTTATGCAGCCTGCTAAATTTTGAGTCCAGGTCAGAATATTTCTCATCACGTTCTTTTATTTCTTGCTCCAACTTCTGTTGAGCTACATAAAGAAACATTTATCTGCTATAAAATTAACGCAAGAAGTTTCCATTTTGAAAATTCTAAAACAATCTCAACCAATTACAATTTACGTTCAGGTTAGATCAGACCTTCGACCAGCCTTGCAGAAAGCTCTTGAACTTTTGCATCTGCTTCTGAATGGGCTTCTCGGAGATGCTGCAAAGCTTGCTCTGCTGCTCCTCGTGTCTGCTTTTCCTCCAAAAGTTCTTTACTCAAAGACTCAATTCTTTCTTGAAGTTCCTTCAAATCAATGGATTCTCCATCTGTCGAATCAATTTCTTCGGTTCGTTCTGGCACATTCTCCACAATCTGGAGAATTTTTATGCTTTCTAACCGAGACTTTAAGTATTCATTTTGAGATTTCATATCGATAACCATTTGTACAAGCTCATCATGATCATCGGAGCATTTATCGCCATCAGAAAACCTATCTTCCACAACAACATGGCCATTGCCCTTATGGTTCACGCCGGATTTCAGCTTCTCAGACATTGTCCCCGGAGTTTCACTAGCATCACCTTCCTCCGAAGACATTGTTCCACTACTCAATTTCACCGCTCAAACCAAATAAGAAATCAATCCGCAAGACCAAAATCGAAGACTAATTAATTCAATTGAAACGCACTGCACAATTATTCACTCCAGCAGTTTCGTTGCCGAATCACAGAAATCTTGGAACAAAATCCAGATCATACCTCGTTCCCGCACTCGACGTGCTTGCAAAAGAAAACAAAAAACGGAGATCTTTAAATTACAGCGTGCAATTGGAGAATAAATGTCTAGAGAAATAACTATACCTTGTATCAAGAAGATAGAAAATGGCAGCCGGAGATCTATCACGGCGGGTACGGGAAGAGGCAAAAAAGAGAAGATTGAGATCTGTGGCGCTGAATTTGTTATTGATAAATCTGGCCGCTGCAGATGAGAGGCTAGCAGAAAAATTCAGTTGGTCGCCACTCTTTCATCGGAAACGTCCGATGGGCGTCAGCTGTAACCGGATTCTACTTGGTAATTATGCCTCCCGCGAGCGACTTCACTGCATCTCTATTTATACCTCTCTTTTTCGTGTTTTCATTTCACAATTTCACTCATTCTCGTTAAAGTATTAGTCGTTAAATCTAAATATATAATTATGTTTTTACGTCGATAAATCCTTAATTTTGTGTCTTTTCTCCGTTATTAAAATTTAAAATTTTATTAAATATAAGATTGAAAGTTATACTATTATAATAAAATTTTAATTTTTAATTTTATATTTTTTAAAATTTACAAATGTACTAAATATGAAAATAAAAGTTAATAGCTTATTGAATATAAAATTCAATTATAGATAGTGAACGAGTTTTTTTATATACATAAAATTAATACGTTAATGATTTATTAAACGCCAAATAAAAAAAATTAATAACTTATTAAATACAATATTAAAATTTCGAATGTAACCGTCCAAACCAACTATTAATACATATTGTCCGCTTTGACTGTGTGTTTAAAACCTGCTCTTTGGAAGCCTATCATCTTCACTTGCACATCACCCCGAGTTTTAACTGTTCAAGCCCAAAGCTAGTAAATATTGCACATCACCCCGTGTCTAGCTCAATACCATTTGTAACAACAGTTCAAGCCCAAAGCCAGTAAATATTGCACATCACCTAGTGTCTGGCTCAATACCATTTGTAACTGTTCAAGCCCAAATCTAATAAATATTGTCTACTTTAGCCCATAGTTATCCGTATCAATATTTTTTGGCTTAATAGAAATAAATATACAATAAATAACTCTTTCTTTCTCTTAATTAATAACTTAATCTTTCTTCAACTATATATATATATATATATATATTCTTTAATCTTATCATAATTTAATTATTAAGATATATACTTTAAATTAAATTGACAGATTAAAAGTTTAAACTATGAAACCATATTTTTTTTTAAATATAATGTGACAAATTTGCTACCATAAACATATTTAACATTACATAATTATTTAACCAATAATTTAAATTTCAAATGAAATACTTCCAATTAAATATATAATAATAATAATTCAAAAAGTAATTTAGTTGTTGACAATTATTAACTAAAAATGACTTTGACGTTGATATGGAAATAAATTTTTCAAAACTTTTAAATTCAAATTTAATTATAGACCAAAGAAAGTTGAACACGCATCTTTAATAATGACCGATTAAAACTCAAAAAGTTTTAATTTTATTTTTAATTGAATTAATTTCCAACTAGTCGGTATTAAAAATCACTGTTATTATTAATTATTATTTATATAGAACATAAATGGTCGGTACGTGTCGTCATTTTCTTACAGGTCACCAGAGTTGGACCATGGGCAACCGGCGGTTCTAGCAGGATACCGGTCCAAATTCAGGCGAAGAATGCCGGGAAACACGAAAGATCCACAGTAGAGATGGTTTTTAATCTTCAATCCGGTGGTTATCATCGACAATCCGTAATCATAATACCAACCAACTTGTTTCCCTTCAAGATTCACGGCCACCGCGCCACCGTTCTTCTCCAAATTCGGCCGCCACCCGTGCCTCCTCGTTATCGCCATTATCTTCCTTATCACCGGATATTTCAGAGCAAGGTACCAAAAACTCGTCATCTCCTGCAAATCCAAGCATTAATTAAACTACACTGGTATAATATTATCTACTTTAAACATGACATGACTTTATTTTGAGCTTCCCAAAAGACGTTGTATCAATGAAGATGCCTTACTTATAAACTAATGATGATTGGCTAAGCCCAAAAACGTGCCCTCGAACAGTCTCCCCTTAATCGAGACTCGACTCCTTTTCTAGAGTTGGCTAAGCCCAAAAGAATTCATCGAGATTCAACTCCTGTTCGGGCATAACTATTATACTATATTAAGAATCACGACTCTCTATAATGATACGATATTGTCCACTTTGAGCATAAAGCTCTCGTAGCTTTGTTTTGGGCTTCCCTAAATGTCTCATACCAATGGAAATGTATTCCTTACCTATAAACCTATGATGATTCCCTAAATTAATCAATCTCGACTCTCTCCCAATAGTTCTCAACAAATTACCATTGGAAGTCCAATCCAGAAATGGCCATGGCCGTCATATTTGATGTTGTCCGGCATTCCTGGTAAGTTATCCACGAATTTCTCAATGCTTCCTTTGCGATCTCCGGCGATGTAATATTTTCGACATCTTCTCCTGTAATTTTCAAGAATCGAAAACTTTCAATTTTATATTTAATAGATTTATTCAAACAATCAAAGAATAGTACAGCGGAGTTTCGCAGAAGACGACGAAGTCTTGGCTGGGAGCGACCGCGACGCCATTGGCGAAATAGAGGTCTCCGACGAGAAGTTCAGTGGTTTTAGTGGTTGGATCGTAGCGTAAGAGTCGACCAAGCGGCCTGCCTTCTAACATATCGAAGATGAAATTATGGAGTCGATACTTGGACGAAGCGTCGGTGAAATAAACCGTGCCGTTGTCGGCCACGTCGACGCCGTCCGTCAGCTGGAATTTTAGGCCGCCGGCCTCCGTGGTTAAGGTCTCCACCACTCCCTCTTTGCTCACCTTCAACAGCCCCTGCATCAAATTTTCATAACCAAACGCCGTCTAACTTTATTCCCAAGGGCATTTTCGGAAAAATAAAATAAAATAGTTCATTTTCATTTGGTGACAAAAAATAATTTCTTTTTTTATAATTGCAAAAAATTATTAAGATATATATATATATATATATATATTGGAGGCTGATATCCTCAACTAAAAAATAAATAAATAACTTTAAAATTAAAGTTTAATTTTTATAACTTTAAAATTAGAAATTCATCTACATAATTGCTATATTGTAAAATAGTATTGGAATTATTGCAAAAATTCTGGCTTTACTGGATGAACTAAACCGTAAGTTAACGGAAAAAAACATAAAAGAGAAATTTACAGTGTTGTACCTTGTCAGCGTCGGCGACAAAAACGGAGCTGTCATGTCCCAAAGCGACACCGAGAGGGCGGCCGCCGGTGAACGCCCATTTCTCCACCGCCGAGTCATTCAATCTAACTCGCTTCAACCACCCATCCGAATCTCCCGTGTAAACGAGTCCCAAATCCGAGTCATAAGCAAAGTCCTCCGGTGCCTTCAGCTCCGCAACCCCGACCCTCTCCGCCCCCTGCAGCACTCTACCATTGCACTTCTCCACCGCCTCCACCGCCAGACTCAATTCCTCCGCCGGCAGCGAAGCCGGGTCGAAAGGGTCGAGTTTGTAAAAGACGACGGCTGTGGCTACGAGAGCAACCGCCGTGATTTTTAGAGCCAGCGGCATGCTGAGGGACGGCGGCGGGTTGTTCGACTCGGGCATTGACTCAGTCGGTGTTAAAGAGGCGATGGGATATATGAATAGAGAGACCAATTATATTGGTTGTGCTGACATTTGCTTTTGGGTTAGTTGTTAGGCCAATATAATACTATATCTATATATTCTAGATATATATTAATGGGTGGTATATCTTTTAATTTTTTTTTTCTAAATAATATAAAATATTAATTTTTTCATGCTTCAGTGTTCTCCATAGATGGAGAGTCGAACGCCGATTTATTCGAAAAGGTTCTCTAAATTTAATTAATGGAAATAGTGTCTCTTACTTATATATTCATGATCTTCTGAATCTGAGCTTGATTTTTTGGCTTCCCATCTTTAAGCTTCTTCCTCTTGTGGTGGATGGCATTTGGGGGGTTTGATGCAATGTTGGTTTTATCAAGCTTGTCAAGCTGAACCACTTTGAGATACTTTTTTTTTTTTACCTCTTATGGTGCATATGGTGCACAGGCCTTGTGCAAGAACGATGGTTGACATCTGAGCTATAACTCTCGTTCCCCTTCAAGAGTCAAACTACTACCTTTGGGCATGTCTTGGATCTAGGGAGATGAGCCTTGGGCAATCAATAATTGGTCCTGTCCATGTCAATCTCTTGGTCTACCACATCTTCGTCGGTCCTACTGGTCTTTAAGGGTTCGATCATGCCTCTGTTAGGGTTATTAATTTGACTCAAATTTTTTTCGGACCTATGAAATAAGTTAGCCACTTTGCCAAGTTTTAATCACAACGGTATTTGTGCATATTAAAAATCCATATCAAAATCAATCATAGAAGGAAGAGTCCGAACCAACTTAACAGTACTCTTCTACATGCATTTGTGGTTATGAAGTTTTGATGAGTCTATTTACATTAACAACCATATGTTCGTATACTTATTATGGTGCACATATTTTTTGAAAATATCACACAGTGTTGTCAGCACATGTTCATTTGTTGTTTGGTAAGCCTTCCTAATTTCGTAAGAAATTCTTCACTCAAAGAGTTGGTAAGACTTAAGAATATAATTCATGTTTAACCAACAAGGAGAAAACTCTTTCTATCCGCTCTATTTTCCATTTAGATAAGATTTTTGTACCCTATTTAACGTCGAGACTCCAATGTGGTGACTCTATAGGTTAAATGGACATATCTTGCTATCGCCAAAACACTGACATTGAATTTTTCATGAAAATGGGGTCGGTTGAGCCGTGTAATTTATGAAAATGGAGTCCAAGTTCACCATTCGATTTCAACGTGAAATCACAATATCTCATTTGGATAGTTCTGTTGTAGTCAAAAAATTTCAATGGTAGGGTGTCAAGATCGACAGGGACGAGGGCAGGGATTTGGATGGACTTTCAAATTCCTTCTCCTTGTTTCTTTTATATAAAGAAATTTATAGAAATAAACTTCATAACTTCAAATTTCTCGAACTTAAAGCTTTCTAACTAAACAATTAGCAATGGAAGCAAATTTTTTAGGGTAAACGTTTGGATTTTGGATTTTGTAGGATATCTAAATTGTTCTTAATAAAAACGAAGAACAAAATAATGTCTTCTTAAGTTTATCATTACATAAATTTATCTAACTAAGCTAACAAAGTATATAATTTCGAATCAATCTGAGTCATACCAACGTTCCTTTTTTTGAAAAGGAGGAGGGAGAAGAAGATATTGATGTCTTAACTTAAAATGAAAACAAATATTAAAACTATATACAACCATTTTTCCAAAAAGAAAAAGAGAGAGATGCACATATATATACACAAGCAAGCACTTCTTGGTGTTGGTGTCCAAAAACAAGGCCCGTTTTAGGACCCAGTGGAACCCAGAAGAGCTTTTCTCTAGGAAATGCACCTCATGGAGTACACGTGGGATTCCATTGAGGGTGCACCGTAGACCCTAGGATGGTCACTCTCTTGACCATAGTCCATCATCGGACGGTACTCAAGATCTTCATCATGATCATAAATGAATTCTGGAACCTCAATTTCGTTCCTCCTTACATGTTCCCACAGCAGACCAATTCTACTCACGTACCTCACCTTACCATACACCCTATCACATTCAAATATTACCCCCCATTAATAATAAGTTTCAAAAAAAAAATTCAATTATTTCTACTCTTTTTTAATTTTATTTAGCGAGTAAGGGCATAAGTGTAATTTTACATCCAACTTTTTCTGTGAAGAGTCCAAAAATACTTTTTTTTTCTTTTTTCTCAGAGGTGTTTTTCTAAAATAAATATTGAGGGTCAGCCCATACATTATCAACTTATTTAAAATTACAAAAAATATATTTTACGTTTTAAAAAAAAAAAAAATTAAAATGTGGATTTGACGTTTCGTACGTGTGAAATTGATTACCATATTCAAGAAAATTGGGGAAAATTGAAATTGATTCAAGGAAAAAGGTTAGAAAATAATACTCGCTGGTGAAGAAAATGCGGCCGAGAGTGGCGAGAAAAACCCTGGCTTGTAGGTCTGGGTGAACGAAATACACGGCTTCCAGATTAGCCTTGACGGCGGCTGGAATTGCGTCATAGATCGATCGGAGAGCGGCGATTCCGGGGAAATTTTGGCTTCTTTGAACGCTGGTGTGAAAGTACAAGATCGTGAAACGCTTGTTCTTAAGCCTAGGGAAGATCTTCTCCTCCAGATGATTCTTCACCACATCCAAACTCACAGTCCGCGCTGATTATCAGAAAAGATGATCAGTATTCAATCTCATCGACCAAAACAGCAAGAAATTAGAATCGGAGCATTAGTAGTTCAAATTATGCAGATACTTCATTTTCAATTTCATCGATGAAAATAGAACGAAACTCGAATCAGAACAGAGCAAGAAAACAAAATCAGAGCAGAGTAAGAAAATATGTAGTTGCTTCTTGAGCAAATTCAAACTCACAGTGCGCGCTGATGATCAAAAGAGATAACGGAAATTCAATTTCATCGATGAAAAAGAGCAGGAAAATCGAAGCAAAGAAGATTAGGTCAAATCAACAGATGCTTCTTGAGCACGCATTCAAACTCACACTTCGCGCTTAAGACAATGACATAAATTCAATTTCATGAATAAGAAAAAAAAAACAACAAGAAAACAGAAACAGAGCATAGTAACGCAAATATATAGATATTCCTCGAGAGGACATTCAAACTCAGTAGTAAAAAAGACGACGAAAATTCAATTTCATCGACGAAAAGAAGAATGAGAGAGAAATCGAAAACCTGGAAAGAATTTCCCGACGATACGGAGAATCCGGCGGCACTGTTTGTCCCTGCCTTTGATCTTGAAGACATCGAACTTTTCGAGTTGGTTTTGCTCCGGCGGAGGAGGCTGAATCTGAGCGGACATAGTTGAAGAACTCCGATGAGAATCAGAAGGAAAAAGGGAGTAGCGTGCAGATCATAGTTAGGGCAAACTACGGATATGGATAAGGATGGATTCAACGGATTTGGTGGAGATGGAATTGGTCGAACGAGATTCGGAAAATAAATTAAGAACGAAGAATGAATAATTGAATTGAATTGAATCGAATTTTTAACCTTTTTTTGGTGGAAAGAAATGAAGATCATGGAGGCCGATAAAATGGCGCGGACGTAGGTCAAAGATTTTCGTCACAGAGGAATATTCTGTTACCATCCTTCCCTCCCCACATGACACCTCTGCCTTTTAATATCGGTTAAATCCCTTTTTCATAAAATTAATTTTGTTTTTTTTAATATATAAACATTATTATTGCAACTAATTTTCAAAAATATTTTTTTGAAATCAAACTCAAATTTTAAAAATTTTAAAATTTGACAAAATAAAGTTTTAAACATTAAAATAAAGTAATTTTAAAATTTGACTTAAAATTCTAATGTATTTTTAAGAAATTAAAAAAATTTACAGAAACTTGTGAGGAGTATATAATTTTTTAGAACAAAAAAACAAAAAATATTTTTAAAAATTCTCATTGGTTTTTATTTTTTATTATTATTTTGCAATTTAAAAATACTATTTTGCGATTTTAAAAAATAAATAAATAAAAACCGAACTCTCATATATTAAATTTTATTTTTTAAAATAAAATTGAATTTTGTGTTTAATAAAACCAATAAAAATAATATAATATAATTGCCAAGTTGAAGATAAGCCCAAAAAAAATATAGTTATTTATGAAAATAGCCTCCAATAATTAATTAATCTGGCCATCAGCCATCTTGGACTTTTTCATAATAAATAAATAAATAATAATAAAATAAAACTTTTAGATCATCCTTATCTCCCAACTCCAATTTATTTAATAGTTTTTTAACTAAAAAATATTCAAAATAAATAAATAAAAAATTGAAAGAATTTGGAGAGATATTAAGATTATAAAATTTAATAATTTCATTTTTTTTTCTTAAATAAATATTTAAATTCTTAGTTAAATTATTTATTTAAACTTTCAGTTAAATTTTAAAAATAAAAATGAGTGGTTAAAATATACGAGAAGTAGAGATGTCTACGAGGCGGGACGGAAAAACTTCCTCCATATAAGTAGCTACAACTTATTTAATATATCAAAAAACAAATTTTAAATAGGGTGAGGCGGGTAATTGAGGGGAGACAGAGATGGAGAAGCCGTCTCCAACTATTTTTTTAATATGCTAATATATATATAATAGGGTGAGGCGGGAGAGAGAATATAATCTCGATCCCATTTATTTTTTCGTAAGGCAGGTATAACAGACAAACAAATTAGAACAAAACAAGGAAGGAAAGATGATATTTAAACCAACACGTTCGAAACATTATCACATATGTTACAAACGACCTCGAAACAGCCTCCATAGACGTCAAAGATGCTTATCCCATTTTTATCCCATGAACAAAGCAAGAAACTCCAAAAGTCAGGCAGCCACTCCATCGTCAAAGATGCTTATCCCATTTTTATCCCATGAACAAAGCAAGAAACTCCAAACTTGTAAGTTCAAAGTTCATGAAATGGCTATAAATACTCTCCCCTCTAACCCATATTCAAACCCAAATCAAAGAACACCAAATCTAAGAGATCAAGATGTCTGAATGTCCTCCAGGTATGTGTTATTTTGTGCGCTTGATTTAGTTCTATCTTCTTCAAAGATTATGGAATAATTTTTTGTAATGTCCTAAATAAACGGTAGGAAAAGACCAATGGCCCGAGCTGGTTTTCGTAGAGTATTCTACTGCTGCACTGATCATTGAGAAGGAGAATCCTAACGTGAAAGCACACAAGATTCTAGCTGGGAGTCCGAGAATTTTGAACTTTGATTGTTCACGAGTTTGGGTTGATGTCAATATCAATGATGTTGTTGTTAAAGTGCCTGCGATTGGTTAAGGATTGTGAATTGATATCTATATGTAATACATACATATATTTCAAATTAATAATAAGGTAGTATCTTTCTACCACTTTCATTTCAATGATCTCTTGAGCAGGATCAAGTTAAAAGGGTAATACATACATACATTTGCGTTATCACCATGAGAAAACTTGAAATTGTGACTGAAAAACTAAGAACAAAAGATGAACAATATGACTATTCAATAATAAAGTTTGATATAGGATTTCTACACGTCAATATCCCGAATTTGTGAAGATTTGATGGTTGGATAGATATTTGTAATACTTTTATAGTCTCTTACTTATACATTTAACCGTGTAAAAACTATCAACCTCGTTATGCCAGCACTCCGACTACCTATCTAAAAAATTATTCAACATCACAATCACAAAATGATTATGTAACTGTCCAAATACGTAACAAGCCAAAACGAAATATCTACTCACGATAATTCACAGTTAAAATACAATGTAATCTCGTTCTCCTACTTTCTTTAAGATAAAACTGTCAGCCACGTTATTCACTCACCGACCAAAGTCATCTCAAACAAACCATAATAATAAAAAACTTTGTCTAAGAGAGTGAGAAAAAGAGGAACATCCCTCCACGTTGTTGGATTTGGGACAAAGCATCAAATTTTGGTCATTTCAAAACAAACATGTTGCGCACATCTCCCACTTTCTTGTAACCTTAATTTCCACTAAAGATCATCAGAACTCAGGCCACCATTATCGGAGCTGAAGAACAAGAAGAACAATGGGGATTACAAGAAACTGGTGGTTTAGAAGAGTCAGAAGGACGTTGAGTAGAAAAGGCAACAGGGACATTGTTTTTCTGCAGACAAATGCAGAAGAAGAACAACAACAAGAAATTGCTTATGATTCAATTATTCCAAGTTTCCAAAAGAAAGCTCTGTGTTTAGAGGAAGTGGCAGCCATCAAAATCCAAACTTGTTTCAGAGGCCATCTTGTATTATATCTTATCATGACACTTTACTTCCCTTTTACCTGTTTTGCATCCCAAAATATTTCATACATTTTAATCATTTGAATTATAATCAATACGTACATTGTTCTTCAGGCAAGACGAGCATTTCGAGCACTAAGAAGCTTGGTGAAGCTGCAAGCGCTGGCTCGAGGGGTGTGCGTGAGGAGACAGGCACGCATAGCTCTTCAGTTCATGCATACATTGGCTCGATTGCAAGTTCGGGTTCGGACTCGCCAGCTTGTGAGCAGATACAGTGAGGAGTCTGATTGTTGAAACTTCCTCCAAATGGCATCATTGTTCCTTCAAAACTGAATAGAAAGGTATCATTTACATTAGCAGATGCTTTTACAACACTATAATCCTATCTGTCTGCAACAATGTGGCTAACTTCATTGAGAATCCTATTCTATAATTGATTTGTGGTTGGGTAATATTTAGCCGTCTCTTTCTCTTTGTTCCTTTCTTTCTTGTTTTATTGTGAGATCTCATATCGAGGAGGACGAATCATTCTTTAGGATGTGGAAACTTTTTTTTAGCAATGTTTGAAATACCTAAGCCCAAAAACGAAAGTCTAAAGAGGATAACATCTACCGTAAATTCGAGCAAAGTGTACCAACAAAGACATTGGGCTCCCAAGGGAGTGAATTGTGAAATCTCACGTTGGTTGGAGAAGAAAATGAAACATTCCTTATAAAGATATGGAAACCTCTCCCTAATAGACGCATTTTAAAAACCTTGAGGAGAAGCCCTAAAAAGAAGGTCTGAAAAAACAATATCTACCAGCAATGGAATTGAATGATTACATTTATGATCTTATTTTGGTAATGATCCTATTGTGGTCATTAATCTGCTAGCTTTGCACTTGGTTTTGGCACGATTCTCTTGAGATGAACAGGACGAGTACAACTTGATCTTCTATTACGACACTCGTTGTAAGCCTTTCAGAATCATAGTTCATAAAAGTGGATTACATTAACCATGGTAAAGAAAAGAATGAAGATAGAAAGAAGGCAGGATTCTACATTCAGATGTATTGTTCTTAAATAAGATATAATACAACATGCTATGGGTTAGGCCACAGACAGAGAAGGGCTCTTTCAATATATATATAGCTGTTAGGCTAAGGAAGGAAATATGGACACAAAAGAAGGCAAATGAAAATGAAGGTCTGAACATTTTCCTTCTCTCTTTCTTGTGGGGTGTGTGTTACTGATTACCAGCACCATTTTTCACCCCTGGCTAAGCTCCTGTGCATTCAGTGGTACCCCTTTTTGAAGGCTGAGAAAAACGCACCAGACAACTTATCTTTCTTGCGTCGATGTTCCCCATTGTTTTCGACCTGCTTAAATCGCATCTCGCTGAGAAACTTTTCATAATTCAACATGTCAGATATGTCTAATGAGTCTACGTACCTGGTCAGCAATCTGCTTGAGGATCTCTAAAATTTCAGTGAAGTTTGGACGTTCAGTTGGATCCTGACGCCAGCATCTCTCAAGAAGTTCGGCAAGAACGGGATGGGTGTTCTTCGGTATTACTGGGCGCAGTCTCTGTCAAACCACATCAGTTAATAATTAAAACATTTTAGTTGCGGTAATGGTAATATCGACCAAGAAATCGATGTCTATACCTTCTGGACCACACCAACAGCTGCTTGTAATGGGGTCATAGATGAGTAAGGAATCTTGTCATACAATAAAACAGCAAGAGAGATGTCATAATTAATACTAAAATGGACAGACATAAAGATTTAAGTGAATGCTCAAAAAAATCAGCTGCTTACTTCTCCAGTTAAAAGCTCCCACAAGGCTATTCCAAAACTGAAAACATCTGCCTTCTGGTCGTATGGTTTATGCTCAATAACCTTGAGATAAAAGATACTCATCATAAGGAAGAACAATGGCACATTCTTCAGAATCTAAAAGCAACAGACTAGCCCAACAATTCGATAAATGCTACTAACCAAACTTCATTCGAGTTAAACTCTTGTCCAGTTAACAGTCAATTAATTGAAAAGTTGTGCTGTTGTGAGTTTAGCTCAAGAATAAAAGCAGAACATTTAATGTCATCGTGGTTCGATATACCCTTGCTAACAACTCTGCTCCATCTAAAGCCGTGCTATCAATTGCACCTTGCAGTCCTTGGTGTATTAAAATTCATCATGGTCATCACTCTTGACGATGATGGCATGATCAATATGCAAATTCTAGTTTATAATTTAATGAGTGAAAGAAAGCAAGATATGATAGAAAATGCATCGGACCGCCAGCTAAGCCCAACTTGTCCTAGTATACCTCACAGGAATAACAGACATATCAAAGTCTTAAAAAGGGCATAATAATCAAAGCTAGGTTGAACCAGATTGCCCACAGCAATCTTACACAAGCAGATGATGGATATGATACTATATTTGGGTCGTTCTTATGTATCCTGGTTAAAAAGATATGCAAGGAATGAGAAATTAATGAAAAATACATACTTCAGGAGCCATCCACCGGTATGTTCCAGTTTCAGCTGTCATCACTCCAGATTGAGCTTGAACTCTGGCGACTCCAAAATCAGCAACCTTAACGACCTGAATTGAAGAATCTAGGACTTTAACAATGTGAATGAAAATATTCTTTTGCAATCCTTTCTTTCTGTATTCTTGTCTTTTTTCTTAATCGTAAGATAATATGCCATGCTTAATACAAACAGGCACGCTCATGCATGATTGTGCACTTAAAGGCACAAAACATGAGTATAAATGCTTATAAAAAAAATACAAACAAGAATAGACACATTCACAAACAGGATTAATAATTATTAAAAGACATGAATACATGCAACAGTGAGGTCATTTTCAAAAGAATATTATAAGAATTAATGGGTGAGCATGAATGGCTATAAATTGATGAAGATTTCTCATTCTCACAGCTTTATGAAGTTCTCTCACCATGTTTTCATCCATCAGAAGATTGGCAGTCTTGAGGTCTCGGTGGATTATATTATTTTGGTGCAAATAATTCATCCCTCTTGAAATATCAATGGCTACTTTAAGTAGAGATACAAGGTTAAATGCTCCTCTTTGCTTATGAAGGAAGTCATATATACTTCCTCTCGACATGAACTCTGTAAAAAATAAAAGATGAGAAATAATCAATCGATGAGAAACAAATGAAAAACTATATCATGAAAATCAGGGTGTGTGCGTGAAAGGAATTTTCTTCCTTTCACGCACACACACACAAATTTGTAAGGAACATATCACAATATACATTTACAAGGGAATTGTTTCAGCTAATATCCCATTGCTACTCCATAAAGAACTTTTCACGTAAGAAGATAGCTCACCGGTCACGATGCAAAGTTTTGGAGGTTTAGTACAAGCACCAATTAATTGAACAACATTTTTGTGCCGAACTTTCCTGAAAAAAATAGGATATCAGGCTTTAGTATAATAAGTAAAGACTTCATCCAGCGTTAATCGTCTCCAAGTAGGTACGCATCTTGTGAAAGAAACATTTGGAATCTATTAATATAAATTGCTTCAAGTGCTTATATGGGTTTTTTCTGAGTCCACATCTATCTTCAAGATCAATGTGGGAATTTTTAAGTGGCAAATTTTTTTGGAGAGAAATACTAAGGGATACCAATGGAAGATAAGTTAAATGAGTTTCTTAAAACATATTTGAAAATGCCAATCTACTTTTGAAAGACCTAAAATTTAGCTTTTCATTAGGCTGGCATTTCCAGACGCTTCCCATACTGTTCCCCATTCAACCAATCAGAAATGAATCCTTATTTCTTCTCCTTTAAGATGATAAGAGATGATTATCCTCCATTGTACAATCCTCCTTTGAATCAGTATGTTGTTTTTTCTATTACCATATATGACATCAGGGGCATGCCAATATTTTGCCTCGACCGTAACAAAAATTTATGATTCTAAGCCCAGAAACATCTCTTCCCAAGTAGATGCATTATTTTGAAGACTAAAGATTTAGAAAGAAACAGATGATCTTAGATTCAATTAGAACTTGAAAGTGTAAAATATCTAAGACCTACCTTTTCTGATTGATATATTTTGAGCCTAAAACCCATTGCATCCTACGTTGTCTTTCAAGGTCATACCATATGTGTTATTCTAAAGCACGATGGTGTTAATAACAATATAGACAAACCTCATTATATAAACTTCTTGAGAGAATTCTTTGAGCATCTCTTCATTAATACGCTCAGGCTTCAGTACTTTAATAGCTACTTCTTGACTACAATACGTGCCTCGATACCTTGAGAGGAGAGGGAAGGAATATTAGGATAAGGATATGTTAACAAGTTTTTTATAAGTTAACAATCATATGTTATAATTAGATCAAACTTACAGGTCCCCATATGACCCGGATCCAACTTTATTCTCAAATTTTAGTTGTCTGGCGTCAATTTCCCAGACATCAGTACCATCAGTAGGTATTTCAACACAACTAGGAAAAGATTCAACTCTATTCTGGTCATGCTTACCCAAAGCAGGACTGGACTGCTTTTCTGACCAACACTGCTCCTGCATCCCATTTCGGGGACGTTAAAGAAATTAAAGAGAAAAAAAAAAACTAAGAATGTATCAGCAAACATTGAAGTTCATTCAAATAATAAAAAGAAGATACCTTGAAATTTGAAACTTCTTTTTCTAAGGTCCTTTTAAGCTCCTCAGTTTCCTAGATTTTCAAATATTCAGGTAGTTAAATATGAAAAAGATTGATATAAAAGATGAATGAAATAAACAGTATAAGATGTTAGAATGAATTGCTCTTGTGAACTTCAGAATATTGGTCAAAAAGTGAATGGTGAAAAAGTTCCACAAAAGTTTACATGCCTAAAATTCAGATCTTACCTCATAAGGCCAACCATCAATGACAAAAACATCCAGAGAGAAACCATCAACAGAGGAGAAAGCATGAGCTTCTTGTATGTTAAGTCCAACATCAGCCAGTAGGGAAGTTAACTGACCAGAACCAAAACCTTCTATCAACCAGTGAAGGGTGTGATAATAAAGGAAAATATAACCCCAGCAACCTAAATATCTCGTTGATATTGAGTTTTTCTTATAAATACTTATGGCTTATCAAGAATGCCATGGACACCACCAAACCAACTTTTTTAAGGTAGCAGTCAAGAATTCATTCAAATTACATGTTACGGTAGATCACCAGGAATTGTTTCTGTAAGTTGTAAATCTGTTATAGTCAGTTAGTAGTTATTAAATGGTTAGTCTGTTGTAATCTCATTTGTTGAGAGGTACTAGGAAAGGAGCAATGTTTGAGGAATAATTACACAGTATAAAAAACTAAAATGCGGAAAGTCCTATTAAATAGCAAATGCAGGCACATCAAATTATATAGTCCCAGATCCCAACTTATGATGAGCTTAAAGTATATCTCATCTTTGTACATGCTCGTGAAGGAAATAGTAAAATTTGTTGGCGGGTAGACATGCAATATTAGAAAATCTTGGTCGTGGTGGTCTATCAAACTGGTAGCATCATAGAGCAAACATGACGGTTCCAAGTAGGTGAAAATGTATTGAAGTTCTATTTGGTCTATCAAACTGGTAGCAGCATAGAGCAAACATGATGGTTCCAAGTAGGTGAAAATGTATTGAAGTTCTATTTAACACACTTCATAAACTATGGCTTCAAGTGATTAAATAGGTCAGATACCTGACTAAGGAGTTTAGGCTTGTCAGTTGTTGCAAACGTGATCTCATGCATTGGCCTATAAATTTTCAATGGTAGAATGAAACAATATGTTACAAAAACATCCATGAGTCAAAAGCAGATAACTAACGTTAAAGAAGACTGTTATTGTTGTGCGTGGGATTAGCTTTATACTATGCTGTTAATCTCACTGCTACTTGGAGATTATATAGAATCAGATGGACAACAAAATTGGAAAGAATGAAGGCTTAAGCAGCCCAAAATTTCAATCAGCGAAAGAAGAAGCTGGCCAAGAAAAAGGTCATTCAGTAGACAATATATTGGTATATTTGAAGATGAAATTTCTCTCCTCTCTTAAATGTTCTATACAGAAACACTGTTGAAAATGAATAGCCAGATCAATATTCTAATTTTTTACTATTTCATAAAGCTGTTGTATAGATAAATTCTTTTTTCCTCACCGAGAAAAGCAAGGCGTTGCGTTTAGGGCACTGTCCCTATCTTCAACCCCATACTTAATGGCCTGAAGTGCACGTGCTTCAAGACTAGGTGAAGAACCAAAGGTTGGAGGTGGATGGTTCCTAGAGAGAGAGTAAATGGACGAGCACCATAACAAAAACTAGAATCAGGACATATTTGTAAAAACATATGTACGGAAGAACATTACTGAGCCGCACCCATGTTTGATAGAACAATTAAAAGAGCTCTGAGCATCTTCCATCATTGAAGAATCCAAACAAGAAGAATTGAAAAGGTTTTCATTTGCAGAAGGATAAACCTGCATTATGAAGAAGATCTAAATAAAGATACGATGCTATATAAAATCTAGCTCAACAGGGTTCATGCAGTGGAATTCACTTTTACCTGCACAGGACGAACTTCAAATACAGGTCGTTTAGCAGGGTCTACAGCCAATTGAAGTAATCTCTTATGCGTGAGTACATCTTCCGCCCTGTCGACATTCACATCCAATGCGTATCTATACAGCAAGAATCAGGAACTTAACAAAAACGGGAGTGCTCTGGAAATCCAATAAAAACGTGATCATAAATTCTGATAAACCAACAAAAATAAGAGATGAATTTGTAATCCAAACAACGTACTCAAGAACTGATCCTCTAAACAATCCGCAACCACATAAATCCTGGCTAGACTATGCTCAATACTTCCAACTCCCACACTTGATAAACCATTTAAAAATAACATAATAAAACAAAAGGCTAAATATAGGGAATGTTTCCTACTCTCCTGGATAATTCTGAATTTGATCCTTAATCTGTTGAAATTTTCGAAGTTACTCCAAATGTATTGAAATTTATCAATGAAGCTCTTCCATGAACATTGTTAGAATTTGCTAAAAAAAAGTCAATGTACCTTCAACTCGGATTCTATTTAACACATTTCCCAACCTGGGTATAGCATAATTTGAACACTCCTTTCAAGATTCAGAGTTACATCAAATATCAGATACCAATGACCTACAAGAAATTCCCACAAAACCCAAAACGAAGGACTAGGGCAGGGAAGATACCGAGCAGGGAGGCGATTGAAGTGGAGCCAAAGCTCATCATCAAACCCAGGTAGATTCGCCTCATGAAAATTGGATTCCTGAATCCGTCGGAGCACTTCGGTATAAGCCTCGAGCTTCTGGCGATGATGCCTGGAGGTCGCATGGGGAGAGGAGGAGTTCGTAGCTCTGCTACCGCAACTCTCAACATCTTCCTCGATCGGCATTGATGAGAAGACACAGAACGAAAAGATCAGTGAATCCGAGAAAATCTCCGAAGGAAAATCAAAAGGAGGGAGGAAAGAAAGTTAAAGAAAAAAAGGGGAACGAGGAATGATTGAAGAATTGTACATGGGAATTGGGAATTGGGATCAAGTTGGGAGACAGATGAAGAAGCTTTCTGTGAAGTGGAAAAGGCTGCCGCGAAAGAGGTGGAAAGAAGAGAGAGACTTTGACACGTCATCAGGTATACTCGGCGTCTAGTCATCTGGGGCCCACAATAACTATATAAAATTGCCATCTTGGATAATTGCCATTGCATTAAAATATCTCCGCCCGCCCACATTATTTTTTTATGGGAAGAAAAATTAAAAAAAAAAAAAAAAAACTATTTTTTAGGGTTTTATTTTTTTTATTGGCTATTTTCAAATATTAACCTATAATCTTTATTAATAATTGATTTATTTTAATTTTATTTATTTATTTATATTTTGAAAATTATTAATGCATAATTTTCCTAGGGTAAACTAGGTTATAATATTACCGGAATAACTTTGAGCTGTTTAAGCGATAATTTATCTTGTTATTCGGGTCCATACCATTTAAAACAAGTAGGTGTTGAACTCGATTCATAGTGCTTAGGTGCCAAAAAGTACTGGTTATAGGCACGTGAGCGCAAATTCCAAATCTCAGTTCTAGCTCGGTCTGGCGGATCTATTGTGTACTTTTTAGCTCCGAATAGAAAACGCTCTCTAGAACTGAAAAGGATCAAAGGAATGAGACTTTGTTAGAACATACTAAAGCATCCTTTTCACATTAGCATTCTCTGCAATCTTACAAACTTACAGCTCACTATGTAAAAAGAATACCAGCCATTTCCACCTCATTCATATCAAGAGATGCAACACATTAGCTACCCAAATGTAATATTTACACTCTCTCAACTGTAACTGTACAGCCTGACGACCATAAATATCGAAATTTTTCTGCACCGATGTGCATCGCTTTACTCAGCGTTGCCAATCCATCCAATGCTGAATTGTATGTTCCAAGAGACCGAAACGTCGCCCTGTTTAGGGTGCAGTATCAGAAAAATTAAGACACGTTTCGTCGTGTACACGACAATGCATCCCTCTAGAGCAGTCGATTACACAGAGTTACTCCTCGTGTTCTGACTTGCGAAGCTTTGTTAACTTATCCCTCCACACAGCTGAAGGAAACAAACATGAGCTATAAATATCTCATTTGTAGAAACATGATAAAGAACAAAATGTTTGGATAGATACCTGCATCTTTGTACCGTTCTTCATAAATAGCCATTTTCATATTCTTCAGCATATCGAGTTCCTCGGACAAGAAATTCGGACCATCAGCAGCACTGATCGAAACGAACATGATTGTTTTTGGATATCAAGAAAAGATCTTCATCAAATAGCAAACAATACATGCACTTCTACCTGTCGAGTAGAATGTCGTAACATGATTTCCTCTCACGCACTCTTCCAAACCCATAACTAACTCTAATGGCATCCTCATAGACAATCTGCTTACTAACAAGTACAGGTATCTGCACATTTGTTATACCGAAAAACACCGTGAGCAGCAAACTTTCAGTGAAGTAAGAAATTATCTCGATCAAGAGAATGAAATCGTGCGGAGAGGGTGCAAAGTAAAGAATCTAAGTCATTCTAGCGACTAGCAGAAGTTCTGCAAGGATCCCAGCATTTAATGGTAGAATATCTACCTTACATCGATATGCAACGTTTAGGGCGTCTGAGGGGCGTGCATCCACACTTAACGTTTCATATTCCCCATCCTGCAGATGATAATAGTTAGACAAGGCATGTATTGAGAACTTCTAAAAAGGTATTGGCTGATTGTGAATCAGTTTATTAAGAGCTAACCTTTTTCAAGAAGAGCCGGGCGAAGTAAGTGTTCATCACTCGTTCAGTAATTCTCGCTGTGGTGACCTATCTCGTGATAATATAAAATGGCATTAGATTATCGCTCTAAACCCCTTTTCATGGTTATCAAAAAAGGAAATGAACATGAGAAGTACAAATGATTTATTCAGAAACTGTGCAGTGCTTCTACCCATAATCTAGCTTAGAGAAAATAATTCTATGACTAGATGAAGAATTAAATCCCAAATTATATAATTCCTCGAAAGCAAGTGTAACAGCCCAAGTCCACCGTTAGCAGATATTGTCTACTTTCGCCTGTTACGTATCACCGTCAGCCTCACAATTTTAAAACGCATCTGTTAGGGAGAGGTTTCCACACTCTTATGAGGAATGCTTCGTTCCCCTCTCCAACTGATGTGGAATCTAGTAATTCACCCTCCTTGGGAGCCCAACGTCCTTGCTAGCACATTGCCCGATGTCTGTTTTAGCCCGTTATGTATCGCTGTCAGCCTCACAATTCTAAAACGCATCTGCTAGGGAGAGGTTTCCACACCCTTATAAAGAATGTTTCATTCTCCTCTCCAACGGATGTGGGATCTCACAAATGGGCAAAGACACTAATATTCTTGCTCGAGCATAAGCTTGTCCTATCAGGTAAACATACATCGCAAAGCAACGTTAAAACTAGCAGATTTTTGCAGCTCATTGGTTCTTGTATAGAAAAAACTAACAAGCCATGTATATATTTCTTGATTCTTCCATGTATGATAGTAGCAAGCAACAATTCACTTTTCAAGCTAGTACAGAATAGAAATCTGAAAAAAAAAAAAAAAAACTCCATCCTAATGTTCTTAACATTAATGTCACAAACGTTAGCTCGAGCATCGCTCAACTAGTTAAGACATATATCTTCGACTAAGAGGTCAAGAGTTTAAACCCCTATTGAACTCTCAAAAAAAAATATAAATTTGTTTCACAAATCCTCCCCATCAAAGACTGATAAACAATAAATCCTAAGCATATATTTATTCAGTAAGTTAGAAGTCAGTTCATACTTGATAGCCAACTTTCACAATGAGGTCTTGTATAAACTGGAAGAGATCAGGGGCATCCTGTAATATGTGACCATTTAAGAATTAATACCAACAGGTAGGTATTCATATATGTATATATATATTTATGAAGAACAAAACCAGAGAAAACCCACCCCATTTTCAATCCCAAGCTGACAATCTATAAGTTTCTCAATAGCATATTCCCCTGCAAACCAAGTCCAAAATTTGCAGCTTCTTTTTGACAAATTCATAAGAAAACACAAAACCCAATCACGTCACAGTTTTTGTCCAACATACCTACGACAATTGGCAGTAGAAAGTCACCATTGCAAGAAATCTTGAGAAACACAGTAGGGCTTCGAAAACGTCTAAAAAACCCCAATCCAAGTGAATGGGAATTGACTTGCGATTCTCTCTGATTGAAACTCGCATCTTCTTGAAACCTCTTCTTCCACATTCGATAGTGATTGATAGTCTCTAATAGTCAGTAATGCACAAACAAACACAGAAATCACGAACACCCCATCGATTCGATCGGAAATTGCAACAAACATCAAAGTAAAACAGAAAAGTAGCCAAGTGAAAGATTAAGAACCTGTGACGAGAAACGAAGCTTCAAAATAATCCCGATGGGAGTCATCATCAGTGTGGGCGAATCCATCGGGAGAAGAGTGGCAGGAAATGAGTATCGAGTTGGAGCGGCGAGAGCGAAGAGCAATGGAAGGCGATCGAGGGAGAGAGAAGTGGAGGAAAGAGGAGGAAGGGCGAGAAGTAGAGGGGTGATCCATGGCTATGGCGGATCGGGGGAAAATGGAGGGAACACAGAAGTGAAAGGTTAGACCCAGCATTGTAATGGCGGAATTACAGAGAAAAGTGGAGATTAAAGACGAAGATGAAGAAGATTGAAAGGGAAACGTGAAGTGTTTGAGAGAGAGAGAAGAAAGAGATTGTTTCAATCCCCTGAATCAATTGAGAAAGAAGAACGAGAAAAGATTTGGGGAAATTGACAAACTTGATTAAACCAAAACAATGTTACCTTATAAAGATTTTTTGTTTTTTTTTTTGTTTTTTTTTTTGTTTTTTTTCTAAATTAATAAAAAAATACTCTTTTTTTTCAATATTTGCTGGAGGTATTTTTTTTCAAATCATTTAAAAATTTTAAATATAATTTTTTTTTTTTTTTTGGTTAAGATAGATGGTATATGTTACGAGAAAATCATTGTCATCTGTCCAGAAATTGACGAGTCGTCCGGTACCGATAAACGGATGCGCGTTTGCCCGCCGCCGCAATAAGGGTAACCTTCTTTTCACGAATTCCATTACAAGTTTTTGGTTTGAAGAATCCAATGAATGGGCTCTACCGGCGATATTCGCGAGCTCTGGTGTCGAGAAAACAACCATTCTTCAGATTTCTAAGATCCATCTTCAACGATTGGAGTCGTAGGGAGTATCATCGCGATTCATACGATTACACGAAGTTATTACAACATTGCAGATCTATCAGAAGCGTTCAAGAACTTCATGCCCAGATCGTCGTTGAAGGTCACGACCAAAATGGATTCTTAGCCACGAAGCTAATCGGCAAATATGCCGAGTATGGCGAGGAAAAAATGGGAATTGCACGGAAGGTGTTCGACAGATTGCTTGAAAAAGATGTGTTCGTATGGAACGTGGTTATTCAAGGGTATGCGAATTGGGGTCCGTTTGCTGAAGCTCTAAACCTGTATGATGAAATGCGGGTCGGTGGCGAACCCACCAATCGCTACACATTTCCTTTTGTGTTGAAGGCATGTGGCGCCATGAAGAACAGTGAGAAGGGGAAGATTGTTCATGGGCATGTTTTGAAATGTGGGTTGGACTTGGATTTGTTCGTGGGCAATGCTCTGATTGCGTTTTATTCCAAGTGCCAGGATGTTGAAACTGCTCGGAAAGTGTTTGATGAAATGTCTCTGAGAGATATTGTTAGTTGGAACTCCATGATTGCTGGGTATACTTTGAATGGGAAAGTGGATGAAGCTATTATGCTTTTCCACGCCATGCTGCATAATCAAACTGCTTGCTCACCTGATAATGCAACTCTTGTTGGGATTCTCCCTGCTTGTGTTACAAAATCAGCTTCCCAAGTTGGCTTCTGGGTTCATTCCTACGTTATCAAGACAGGAATGGAAGTTGGGGCCCCATTGGGCAGTTGCCTTATCTCAATGTATGCTAACTGTGGTCATGTGAACATTGCGA